TGTGGACTCCGGACTATATGTGTTCCTCCAGCCCTTTCCAGCTAATATAACCAAGTTGCATAAACAAGTTCAAACAACTTCTATACAACGAAAGGAGATCGCGGCCATACAAAAGGCTACACCATCCTGGTTTTCATTTATTCCAATTACTTTTTATATATACAGTACACTTCTAGATTACAGAATCCGGTTAAACCTATGCTTAATTTATCTGGGGATTTTCTAGGTCTATTTTAACCAAAACAATAACAATTTTAGGTATCTTAAGCCTAAATATGTACAAATTGATCCTGCATTCGGCTTTTTTAGGCAGTCAAGGCCACTGTAGACCAGTCATCCTAGGTCACATACCTTTTGGAAAGCTAGGTTATGTAAAGTGTTGCTAACTCGTTTTCTTAACTTTTTCCTCTCGTTAGTTTGATCTAGTTAACACACCTTGTTCATAGTTCTCTGCCATAATTGTTAGTCTTAGTCCTAGCGTCGGATCATGGACTTGGTCTTTGACTCATTGACGATGCCGACTAGGATTCCGGCGAAAAGACCGAGAAATGTAACAAGTCAATGGCCAGATGCTGGGAATTGTCATACCTTCGGTTGAGGACAAATGGAAAATTTGCAAAAACGAGTTCAGACCACCGAAAGGAGACTGCGACTATGAGGAGGTCATACCATCTTGATATTAATAAATACGTGGGTTATACAAAATTCGGTGAAAACATGATCGTTGGAAGATTCAATTACCAGTCCTTAATCACTTAATGCGACTTTGGGTAAATAGTGCTGGTTTACCTCGTTTTCGCAGCTTGGTAGGAGCGACAAAGAGACTTTGTACATTCATAGACGTTGTCCTATTTGCTACTTTGCTCAATTGTAACTCTATGCTAAGGATGGCGCCTCTGACTGAGAATGTACCGAGTCAACGATCCGAGGCTGAAAATCACGGTGAATACCATGGCATATGACACAGGACTAGATAAATTTCACAAGATTCTCTGTCGCTCCATCGAGTTGCAAAAACGAGGTCAAACTAATACAATACAGCTGAAGGAGATTGTGACCAAGCATAGGCCTACACGATCTTGGTCTTCATATCTCATATGGGAATATTATTTTAGTATGTGAATATTATACTGATATTAGACCTATTGCTCCTCAATTTTACACTTGTAAATTCACTTTTTCTCATTCCTTCCTGTTGGGGCTTAAAATGTAGGTAGTGTTGGTGGTGAGATGAAGCCAAGCAAACGAAAACTGGGTATGATAACACGTGCCGAGCAGATCGAATTGACTAGTTTAGCCGCTCACCTTTGCGCTGTACAGGGCCTCAGTCCTGCCAGAGCTGCCAACTTGGCTGCCAAGCAACTCGGCCTCACCGCGAAAGCCCTTACACCGCATCAACATCAACATCAGCATCAGTATCAACGCCAACCACATGTTGGTAGTTCGGTTGCTGGCATCGACCAATTTGATGGTCATCCGATTGAGTCTGAGGCTCGACAAAGGCCGATTGTCGACTCTACTGCACTTGTCGCCGAGACTCGGACCGGCAAAACAGTCACGGCCGGCAAGTCGCGCAGTCTCCCGACTGGACGACAGGCCGACACGGCGGATCAGGAGACAGCAACTACGGGACGTGGAAAGACGAATCGGCTGGGACCTGCGGTATCGGCTTTGCCGATCGGTGATGAGCCGCCTGTGATCGTCAGAAAAGTGCTCTCCGCCACACGTCGACGTCCTCAAGTCGGACTTGCCGATTCCGCAGCTAGGGATACTGCCAAGCCGGCAGCTCAACCGGTCGGCTCGGGCACCATGACGACTGGGCAGGCTAATGTACGTCGGGCAAAAATACCCTCTGTAGTTGAGGCTGAAGAGGTGACGAGGACAAAACGGGATGTTGATGGTGTTTCGGACGCGATGAGCCCGTCCGCTTCTGGCGCAGCAGTCCAGGCATCCGCAGTCAAGCTGAAGACTCGAACCAAGGCTCCTGCCAGCATCGTTCGCAAGACGGATTCTGGCCCTGAGGGTTCGGTAAAGCGTTCAGGCCTCAGCGAAAAGCCGAGCGACTCAAGCCAACCGGACAAGCGACCCGAGAGTCGCAAATCCGTTGAAAAGTCCAAGGTCCAGGTGAGTCAATGTCCTCGCATTGGGGCATGAATCTTCAGTTTCACTTCCAACTTTCATCTGATAGTAGGGGGCCTCTGTTGAGACTATCAGATCATCTCGAACTTGACTAGCTATGCGTATAAGTATTACTTAAAGACCACTAGTTTATCTCGAATAAGAACTGTGTTCATTCTATTTCGTTTAAGGTGATGAAGAAATAGTAGTTGAATTTTCCAACAATTGTATTAGTAGGCCTCATGGTTCCATTATATTTCATGTAGCCTTGCTTCCCAAAAGGTATTCTCGTTCAGGAATGATTGCAGTTTCATTGACGATCTTATCACAGAAAGTGGTATGTGAAAAGCCAGGTCTCTCTTGATATTCACTTCTGCCCTGCGATTCAAGGAGACTTGCGGCAGTCTGGCTAGTA